GTTCATAATTCACATATATATTACGTTTACGGTTTTTAATAACAAATGTGTAAGTTTTTTGCAAACCATAAACACTAAGAGAGCTTTAGGCAGAGAGAATTGGCCAAAGAGAATATCAACGGAGAGATTCCCAAGTAAGACTTCGAGAAGAGAGTCTGTGCGCAGAAGAGAGTCTTTGAAGGATTGAGTGTGTGTTACTGTGCGTGTGTGTGTGGGAGTGTAAAACCAGTTTGTTTGGCGGTGCTCCATCCCTTTCGCTCCCCTTATGCTTTATGCACTTATGCTGCAGCAGCAACTTTTTAAATTAAAAGCCGTTGTCGCGTTTTCCATCGTTTTTCATTCTTCCTCTTCTGCGGCTCCTTCTTCGCTTTCTGATCGCTCTTTTGGGTCCCTGTCCTTGTCGCACAATCAATCGTTCGTTCTTTGTTTTTGTTTGGAGTTCTTCTGGTTCCTGTTCTTCTTGCGGTCGATTTTGTGCTCGTTGTAGTTGGGGTTTTTTCTTCCTCTTTCCAGCTCATTAAACTTTTAACGGCTACTGTTCCCTCATCGCCGACTATCCCCCCTTCACTCGCACACACTTAACGAAAAACTTATTTTTGTCATGTAGATACTTTTAGTTCAATAATTTATAATGTTTGAACTTATATTCAGTTTCAAAGTTTGCGCTCTATGTCTTAAAATATATAGAATGCATACTTTTAAGCGAATATATAAATGTTGATCAATTAAAAAATAAAATAAAAACAAATATAACGGTTAACAAATAAAAAAAATGTTTACTTAAGTTTTGAATTATTGCTTTTTTAGAAAGAATTTTAAATTGTTGCCAGTGCACACACGTAATTAATTTCAATGGACGCGAACTGTTTGGGGCACGTTCAATCGTTTTGATAAGCCGTCTTATTGGTCTTGTGTTGTGAGCGGGTTCTACGCTTAATTGACTTTCCTCAAAATCTAAGTTTTTACCCTACTTAGAGGAAGGGGAATTACTAAAAGAAGAAAGGAAAATTATTAAAGTATTTCCTAAAATTTTAATATGTCTATTTAAGTATGTCTAAACATCTTGTGATTGTATTAGCAACCTTGTAAGTAAGAATAATATTATTTTATAAATATTTTTCTGTATACCGCCTTAAATTTCAATACAGAAATGTCTCAAGGCTGAAGTTCTAAACTCCCTAACTCAACTTATCTTAATGGGATTTTGAAGTGGCATACCTCTATGTTTCTGGCGCAATGTTAGTTCTTTCACACCAACTTAGTTCGAGGTATCCCAAAGTCGAGTTTACAGCTTCTTTCTTAAGGAACTTCCCCCTTTAAATGAATCTCCAATGGTTATCTGTAAGCCCGACTTTTCACATAAGGCGGGATAGTCTCATTTAATGTTGTTCACAGTTAGATTGAGTTGATAGCCATAGGAAATTATTTGTTATTCTTCTTTTCCCAGAACTTTTAGGCCGCCGCAAGATGGTCGGGTAAATTGGGTTAAGCTCAGCCCACGAAATCAACTGATTTTGTTGGGCTTGTCCGCCTAATTGAAATGTATGTCCTACGCATGAATAGAGTTTGGGTGTAGCTGCTATCTCAAAAACAACTTCATCCTATTGGAGTGAGTATATCATAAATTTCGCTTGAGATACTAATTACCTTTGTGGATTAACAAGCTGACCCAGTATTTCTTCTTTTGAAACCTTCAAGCTTCTAGTTGCTACAAATATTATAAGGTGAAGTTAAATAAGCTAATATCTTCGTAGATCCTCGAAATATTTACATAAAATTCAGTATATACCAGGTAATGTTTACTGAAACTTAGATAAACATACTTCTAAGTAGTTCGCCATGTGAAAGTAATATTCCGCCTTTCCGACTGTTGTGAAACCCGTTGATTTTTCCCAAGTCTGCGGTTTCGGCGACTTTGGGCCGAAAAAAAGCACTTAAGCCTCGTTTGGAACGCTTCAGCTGTGGCACATTTATGCAGATTTTGTTCGGCTTAGGCAGGCATATGCACATATCTTATCTGGCTGCACCACCCACCCACACACGTGGTGCACCGCACACAGTCCGCATAAGTTGTGTTTCTTTACGGCCAGACTTGTGTCAATATAGTTATGAAGTGCACCGAAAAAAAGATGTCGCACATTCTAGGCTACAAAATAATTATTCTCCAATTAAAGACATATTGTATAATTAAGTTCAAAAGTATGCTAATCATACCATCCACATGTTGAAGAAATCTATTCGAATTTTATATTATATCTTAAATGAAAAATAAACTAAAGTAAAATTAAATATGTACTTTAGTTCCTTTGAAACATTTGTGAAAAATATTTTTTTATTTTATAATACATATTCCCGATTCTATTAACTGTATGCAACTCGTGGCCGCCAACAAAACTATTACCATGATCTGAAGTCGATTTAAAGATGCAATATGCAATAATATAATACGATCCAGCAAATTGTGGGTACACCCATGCCACCTTGCCACCCGGCTGATCCGAAAACCAGTTGGAAACACTCACATAAGAACGGACCGACTTCGACCCACGTCAAGCAAAGGGACATGGCCAACATAAATGCAATTTGAGAGATACACACTCCGATCGCTGGGGATCGCATCCTATAGGTTGTGGGGATATGTGAATATGTGGATCTGTCACTCCTGACTGAATGGATGCGCGTCGAGTGCGCCGAGCCCATGACAACCTGCAATCAAGCGCCAGCAGGCATATCCAACGGATTCGGATTGGACCAAGGCATCCGTACACCCAAAAAAATACATTTAAATTAGCAGTAGATTTCTATAAGCAACTCAGGATTAAGTTGAACTAAGTGGTTAACAAAACTGAAGTTTTTCATAACAATTTCAAAACCTATAGCTTATTCCCTTGCATTATATGGACATGCTATAATTCACATTCATTTGCATTGAAAATAAATAAAATGAGTTTCAGTCCCTTTGCCGTTCGTTTGGATGATCGCATGAATCCTCATTTTATTTAATTGTCTTTTTCTGGCCATCAATTGCCAGCAACAAAACGCGTAGGCCAGCAACAACGAGCGACCAACTGGCAACTTGCAGCATGCAACTTGCAGCATGCAGCATGCAACAGACAACATTCAACAATGCGACAATGCACGGGCTTTAACTTAAATTATGCGCCAAACAAATAAGGTTTCGCCCAGTCTCAACCTCGGAACCCGTCTCATAATGATGCCATGAGGCCATCGGCAAGTTGTTAATGTTCATGCACTTGAAAAAATATTCTTACTCTGCCTTCAGAATCATTCTTCTACATGCATGTTGAAAATGAATCAATTGTATGCAACTTAATTGTTAAGCTCCCAGTACTTGAAATATTGATTGTTTTATCAGTTAGATTAGTTAGGTTTTGTTTTGAGTGCCGAACAGTGGCTGTGATGTCGCCAGTTGCACAAAGTCATGGCCACAGTTGTCGGGTTTTTTCCTCCAAATGCGATGGGGTTGTCGAGCGGATGGCAAAAAAGAAACAATGTCAGCAACCGCAAGAAACAATTAAGTTGGCTCGACACAATGAGGAAAGCTACGATCAACAAGACAGTTGGATCAGCGACTTTATGCTCTGGTGCCTGAATTGGATTTGGATTGGGATCGGGTTCGGGTTCGGGATTGGGAGAGGTACTGAAATGGTATGGAGTGGACTCCAGGTTGCAGATTTCCTACGAGGAAAATTATTACACGTTTCCAGGTCGTAAAATTATGAATTCTGCCATATTTATACTTCACTTCTTGATGTCATGCTAAATAAATTTTATGTAAACATTTTCCACAATTAAGTGAAAAAGTTTCCCTTCATTTTGAAGTGTTCTTTAAAGTGCTTTCAATATTGCCCTGATATTCCTTCTTATCTGGGCCATCTAACAGTGGGAAGCCACTGGAACCTTTTGCTCCAACAGCAGCTGCTGCGGCACGAGCCAAAAGTCATTAAAAAAAAGACTTCTGGATGGCAGAGGGCAGCTTTTTCGATTAAGTGACAGGTTAAATGCTAAACCCATAAGTTTTGGCCACAAGCAGCTGGCAATCACCAAGCACGAGCCACAAACTTTTGCAGCCGGCCGAAAAGCAGGAACCAGGAGACTGCACTGAGAAAAATAAATAATAATAATAATTAAGGGTGTTCCTGGCACTTGGGGGTTACAAATTAAATGTATCAATTAGTGGAACAATGCCTAGATGAATCCCAGATGAATTGGTTTGCTTTCGAAAATGTATCACACTGAAATATTGTAACCCAATTGTTGGCCGGATTCGTAAAATACTTCTTCATGTGAAAAGTGCAAGAGTCGGAAGACAGGAGAATCATTCGAAACCGGTTGAAAGTCTCCCACAGGCACCTTCTGTCTGATGCGACGACGTGCGTCGGGCCAACTATAACCATTAGTCGCAATCTTTGGGCAATTGTCGCTGATTGCCGTCGTCCGTTGTGCCTTGTGCTTTTTCCAGATACAGATACAGATACAGATGCAAATGCAGATGCTGTTCGCAGTCGCAGATGCAGATATGTACATTTGCTGCGCCAAATGCCGGCTGACCTAGCTTGATTAGCTAAAAGTGCGTGCGAAATCCACATGGGCAAACATCTGCTGTAATTGTCCCTACATCAATTCATTTAAATTAAATTGTCTCTATTGTATTACGGACGGTGTCTATCAAATATAAATACAGAGGTATATGAAACGCACCTTAATAATAATTCTTGATAATACTCCTTAATAAAGTTAATCAAATTATTTACGCATGAAAATTAGTTTAAAAGATACTTATTTAGGTTAATACAATCTTCACACAAGAAGACTTTGAACAACTTCATTCAAATAGATGTCGACATACCGCCTCACTTTTATTTTTACAACAGCCCAACCAATTTAGTACATATTTTTAAATTGACCGCCACGCTAACCAGGGCTGTGCATTAATGGCAACTTATCGATATCACACGCCGCTAGCCAGTGCTGAGAAGTTTCCCCTACAGCGACCATCGATAGTACTGCAGAACTATCAGTTATTCTTGCACCTCTAGTGACGACAACAAACGTGAGAAATTACAAAATATTTTTTTAATCAGTTTTAAGCACAATTATCATAATAAAAACTGAACAATTGCATTTAGCAAGTGCTGTACATCAAGAAGCGCAACACTATGCCATCGCGAACAAGTGCAGATGCCGGCGGCGCCAAGGAACACAGTGCGCGGAGCACACTCATCGGCCCGAGGAGCAAGCGAATCGCCCTAAGCAGTCGAAATCGCAGCCTAGCTGCTGCCGAAAAGAAAGCCGCAGCATCTCAGTCGCAGCAGTCGTTCCCGCCAAAATCGGAATACGAGAAATTCTACGAGACCGTCTTCCTGGCGGAGGATTCGCAGCCGGAGGAAGTGAGTCCCTCGCCCCGCATGGGCTACAATTCAGGCTAATGCTAATCAAGCTGATTGCCGTTGTCTGGATAGTTATCAAACAAGATTTCTTGTTTATATTGTGCCAGTCCACTGATAGACTTGTTTACATTTGCATAGGGATTAAACGTACATTCCTATATCAGAATAGTGAGGTATTGCACTGTGAAATGAGGTTCGTTAGGATGTCTGTACATTTCATATATTTTGGGAGTGACAGGGACAATATTTGTATAATATCTATTTAAATTACTTGCCTGCATGAGTACGCTTCTGCCTGGACATATGCCAAATATCCTAATTCTTGAACCAATGGATTATTCCAGGAAATAACACCAGAGCGTCGAAAGCCAGGACCGCGCATGAGAAGTTCGCTCCATGCACTGCTAGTCGACGATGGACCCAAGGTGGGAGCACAGCGAGCCGGAAAGATAAACGTCGCACAGAAAGTTGGCGTTGAGCCGGCGAACGGAGCCAATAGCATCTCTCCATTGCCGAAAAAACAAGGGAAGGAGGATAAATTTGAGGACTACTACACGAAAACGGAGCGGCACGTTTGGAAAAAGGATGCGGAGAAAATGTTGTTGCAACTGTGGGCACAGCACTTGAACGATTTTCGTGGCGAGTCCAAGAATGTCCTTATCTACCGGAAAATGGCTAAGGAGATGAGCCAGTTTGGACCCAGTCACACGGAGCTTAAAACCAAAATGGACAATTTGTCGCGAAAGTATCGGTATGTCATATATATCTTACATTTTGCAGACCAATATCTATCATAACTTTTATATTGTAATTTACAGGATAGAAGCTGAGAGAGTTCGGGAAACTGGAATTCCATCCAAGTGGGAACACTTCCATAAGCTGCAAGCACTTCTGATTGGCACGAAAGCAGTCGATGTGTTTGAGGACATCATCGCCGAAAATCCAGGTAAAACCAAACCGCAATAAACGCTGCTTATAAAATGATATCTTACAAATACGCATATTTTGCAGCTCAAGTTCTGTTCAGCGATGGGGAGTATGAGCATGAAGAATCGGCTTCAATAAAAGACGAAGCTATGGTCGACGACCATGGGAATAAATTTGAAGATGAAGTGGTTGCGAGCAAAGCCATGAAAAGAACGCGAACTCCCTCACCCATTGTTCCAGAAGTCCTCGATGATGAGGAGGTGGAGGAGCACCTAGAGGATCTATCCCCATCGCCGATTTCAAAATATCAGACTAAAAGAACGGAATCGAGCAGCCATTCGGACAGACTCCTTCAAATAGAGGAGGAAAAACTGGCTATCGAGCGAGAGAAGCTGCAGGTTATGAAGGAGGCTCTGCTGGAGCTCAACGCATTTCACAAAGATATCGTTTATTTGCTTAAGCATAAAAATCAGTAAATTAAATATTAAGTGTTATAGAAAATAGGATTGCACTCTTGCAACAGAATATTAACTAAATATTTAATGTAATATTGCGTCACTTCAAAGTAACCTAAATATACAAATATACAAATTTGCATTGTTTTGACCGTACAAAATAATACAAATTATTTTAAGTAAATATAAATGCAATGAAATAATAGTCTTTAGGTGTTTTTAAACTTTTTAAATTAAAATGATATTGATTTATTTAAAATTTATTTATTATTATTAATTTTATTATTATTATTATTTAAATTATTTATTTATTGATTCCGTTGGCATGCGATTGTGACAAATTATTTGTTTAGTTTCACGATTTTCGGGATGTTTTTAACATGAATAATTAACCTTAAAATTTCGAATTGAAAAATACGATATCATAAAACTATCGATATGTATGCAACACCGATGCTGGCCACTTCTAGAAACTTCGATAGAAAAATCGAATTTGCGCTGCTGTCCATCCCTAGATACATTTTGTTTATACATTTCAAGCATAAGGACGAAATGATTGATGCCTGCACGATGCAGGACGTGTCGAAATTCGAATCCAACCAGGAGATCTCGTCGAAGGTGCTCCGCGGCGAGTACCGGCTGCTGCGGCGCAAGCAACGCGGCTCCGTTTGGAAGGTCTACCGGGAAATCGTGCGCACCGACGGTGCCATAATCAATGGACTCTACTTCTGTACTGGCTGCAAGCGCGTCATGCGATCCTTCAATACGTCCAATCTGCGCACCCACAAGTGCCATGTGGACTACCTGCGCACCGAGGAGTTGTGCGAGGATGGAATCGCGGAAATCCATTCTCCTAAGCTAGACGTACGTACGACCACATCGTGGCTCACTCATTCCCAGAAGATAACACAAATTGTCTCGTGTCCCACTTGCAGGATTCGTTGGAGCGCCGCCTGAGCTGGAACAACTTTCAGCCGGCGGAGTGGTCCTTCCACGCAGTCGAACTGCTCCTCGAGCTCTGGGCACAACACTGCGTCGATTTGCGGGACACACGCAAGCGGGTCAAGGTTATCTGGAAAATGACCGGCGAGATGAAGACACTGGGATTCACGTTCACGGAAATCAAGAACAAAATTGACGACATGGGTCAACAATATCGGTAAAAATCGCCAATATTGATGTAACATAAAATTGTTCTCCTATTTTACATCCTCTACTTGCATTTACTTATCTAAAATGTATGTGTTTCTAGACGAGAATCGCACATGGAAAAAACGACTGGACACAAATCCGAGTGGGAATACTACGAGACTCTAAAGATGATATTTACTTCCGATCGTAACATTATTGACAGTATGCCCTTGGAAAACTCTGGAAATGTACCCATCACGACCAGCGAACAGAATTCATTTGGCAGTCAACTTGATGAACCATTGGTGTCCAATTACTTACAGTCGCAAAATGTACAGACCAGGGAAAGGGATGGCTTCGATAGAAACGAATGTGCGGAAGACGTACAAGAAGACGTGGATGAACTGCGCATTCTGAAGGATAACATTATTAGGGAAATAGAAGAATCATCCACTGTGCATTCCCAGGAGAACTACGAAGACGAGCTCGATCAACAGAATTCGAAAACTGAGGAAATGAGAAGGTCTAAACGCCAAAGAGCCGCTAGAATGATGGAAATAGAGGAGGAAAAGCTGGTCATAGAGAAGAAAAAATGCAAACTGATGAAGTTTTTTGTACGAGAGATGTCGTCGTTTCATAAAGACTTTATGGATCTTCTTAGTAATCCCAAAGAAGGCTCACATTCATAAATACCCGTTCGCAAATAAAGTTCTTACTTTTATAAAACATGTAGAAATCTTCATTTCGATATTGTATTGAAAACGGTGTTTAGTTTTCAACTTTCGACGTAATATTAATAATTATTTATGAAGTTACTCAATTTCTTTAATCAAGAATAAAACACCTATGGTTAAGTATAAAATGATTTGTAATTTATTGCGTTTTTTTACAAATCAGTAGATAAGTTAAAGATTTAATAAAATAAAATTTTATAAATACAATTTTTATAAAAATATTTCATTTTTAACATTTGCAGCAATGTATTCAAAACATTATATATTTTTACACAATTAGTTGATTGATTTTAAAATACTTGAATTAATTATATTTTTAGTTTTTGAATTTCACTTGTTTTTCTTTCTAAAATATTTTGTACTTTCCTCAATTCGATAAATTATAATTTCTGAAATGTCGATTTCGATTGCAATCAAAAATCGATACCAACTTGCCGGTGATGCCACCTGGTTCTGAGCTTCGTCTGTTTAGTTTTTGCCATGACCATCAGGATTGCAAGGCGAAATATGTTTTTTATACACGCCCCCGAGGAGGAGAAGTGCACGGAGGCGCAGCTGGACATCCTGATGAAGATAAACTCCGGGGAGTATCGGCTAGTGAAGAAGAACAAGCGCAGCTCCGTGTGGAACGTCTACCGGGAAATCGCTCGTCCGGACGGTACAAAGTTGAAATGGCGATACTTTTGCATGGGCTGCAAGAGAGTGATGCAGAGCACCGGGGGCACCACCTCCAATCTGCGCATCCACAAGTGCCACGCGCGGTATATCAAGCAGAACGCCCATCTAACCGACGGGAGTCACTCCTACAACCATGCTCCCGCGACCCCAGCTAGCCAACAGTCGCCGCGCGTCCAGAAACCGAAGACCAAGCGACAGCCATCCTATGCCACCCAGTGTGAACAGTTCTATGAGGATCCGCTGACCCAGTATAGCGACTTGGAGGATGACATTAAGGAAGAGGAGCGCACTGTAAGTGCTGCACCTTGCTTGGTATATTGAAGCAATCATAAACTATATCATCTGTATTATCCTGCAGCTGGAATGCGAGCGTGAACTGGAGTCCTCCAATTCCAGACCACTGCTAAAGCTCTTTTCCGAGGAGAACTTGTCGGTTGAGCCAGAGGAGCTGGAAGACGAGGGTGAGGCTGAGACTGCGGAGACGGAAGACCAGGTGCCTATCGAGCTGGACTTATCTGACGTCCACCATACTTCCTCGGACATAAGCCATGATGTAATCGAGCCCAAATCAGAGGAAAGTGGCTACCACTTCGATGCCAGTGCTATTTCCGAAGCTGAATCCTATGCCAAAGCCTGGGCTCACGCCTTCCTGCGGCTAAACGAAGACCAAAAGTTCTACGCCAAGCGCTCCATTGATGAGCTACTAGTACTGGGTCGTCTGGAGCGACTGAACATTTCCACAGTCACATCCTTGACCACAAACCTGTAGCACCTCACCATGCCATAAGAGTGTAAATTAGCCTAAAAATTAATTTATATTGCAGACTAAATGATTTGCTAATTTAACGTAGATTGTGTTTAAAAAAAACGCCAAAAAAAAGGTACTAAAATCATGCTTATAACTTTCCTAAGCCATTTTTATAATAAATCCATCCATTGTAATATAAAATACCAATATATGACATATTATATTCAGGAGCATTTACGCTTCACATTAAAAAAAAATCATTTTAAATTACTTTAGAATTTACACAAATAAACAATGCCAAAGTGTTTTTCAATTTTTTTATTTTTTCCAATACGTTTTTAAAGTTTTTTTTTACTTTTCTTTTGTTGCCATCTTGCGTTTGTTGTATATTTTTGCTTCTTTTACAGTTTTTTTGTTTGTTTGCTGTGAATTACATGATTTCTTTCGCTTGTTTGTTTGCTCTGCTTTGCTTTCATTTTTGATACATTAAGTGGGCCTTCTTTCCGCCTGATGGCTACATGGTTTCGAATCGAGATGATGTATAAATGGGACAAGTCGTGTGGTTGTATAGGTTTTTAATGTTCCTTAAAACGAGAAACGTTTGCTTAACGCACAACGGTAACAATGCTTTCAGAATAAATAAAAGTTGTAATAATAGTTAAGGTATACCGGCGCTAAATTGCTGTGTAATTTAAATGTTTCTTTGTTATGGTTGTTCATACAATAAAATTCCACAATTATGCAAACTTTTGACGGCCAGGTTTGATGGAAATTGGATTCTTTTGAATTTGATATAAATTTTTACGATGTTAGTTTCCTATAAGTTCTACAATTCATTCTGCTGCCCTACGAAACAAAACAAAAAGCAAACAAACCGAAAAAACGCGGCGGCTCATTTAGCAAACTTGCTGCAATATTTGCTGATCTTGTTGCACCATTTTGCAGTGATCGCTGATGTTGACGATGAGCTGCTGCTTCTGCGATGGTAGTATTATGCTGCTGCTACTGCTGATGATGTTGACGGTTTTTTGAAGGTTCGACGATCCTTTCTATGCAGTGCTCTCTGTGGTTGTATTTTGCAGCTCTTGAGCGCCGTTCTAGGGATTTGTGTGGGAACATAGCGAGGGGTAGAAATCATAAACATAAGTACAACTTAAAATCTTAAAATGGTTGAAAGTAAAATGCGGTTTTCGTTTTTAAATGTGTGTTTGTTAGCCAATTGGTCACAGGTAACTAAAAATATACGAATGTTAGACCCAAAGCCTCTAAGTTAAGTGTTAAATGTTAGGGTTTCTCCGCTTTATCGCTGTTTCTCTGCTTTTTGTGTCGGTGCGAGTGGCTGTTCTGATTGTTAGTGGTTATTTATGAATGCAACTGTAATGCACTTTGTTAGTTTTTCAGTTTTCAAGAGGCCTCCACCATGTTATTATTGTAGACCTTGTTGTTATGGTTGCCGTTGACTGTTGCTGATGTTTACTAGTTAGATGTTGTTATCGTAGTTTTGCTTTGGCGAAGATGTTTCAGTTGTTTCTGTCGTGCTGGTGATTAGTTCATTACCTGCTGTGGCTGCTGCTCCGAACCACCGCCAGGGCCATTTGGTTTCCTCTGGCGACGTTGACGTGGCTGTTGAGGGCGTGGCGGTCCCTGGCCTTGAACTGCAAATAAGGAGGCAATATTAGTATTAATATTTATCACTATAAGTGTGTATAGTATAGTCAACACCTTAGATCTGGGCTATACTCACTGTATTCTCCGCCGTCGCGGCGTGGTGGCGGTGGACCATTGTTGAAATTGCGGCGGAAGAAGCGCCTCTGGGGTCCGCCTGGTGGGCCACCACCGCGACGCGGTCCCTGACCCTCGCCTCGCTGCACACCCTCCGGGTTCTGATCGTGGACGCCGGGCTCGGCGCTGCCGTCACCGCCGCCCAGACCGCGTCGCGGCTGACGCGGATAGTAGTTGTTGTAGCGCCGGGGGCCACCGGGAGCTCCGCCGGGAGGTACTCGGGGGCCACCTCGAGGTCCTCCGGGCGGTCCACCGGGTGGTCCTCGGCGGAAGTTCTGTCGTGGCTGACGCGGTCCGGTTTGCACCTGCTGGGGCTGCCCATCAACGGATGGAGCCGCCTGCTGCTGTTGCTGCTGCTGCACCGGCGATTCAACGTCTTCGCCTTCCACTTCGCCATCCTTGCGGCGATTCTTCTTCATCCAGGGACGGAAGTTACGGCGCTTGTCTGCCGCAAACTGACTGCCCCGCACCGGCTCACCAGAGGGACCGGTCACGTTGGCCGCCTCGTTTCCCTTCTCGCCAATGACCACGTCGAACTCAACAACCTCACCATCGCCCACCGAGCGGACTGCCTTCTTGGGGTTGTTCCGCGCTATGGCGCTCTGGTGCACGAAGACGTCCTCTCTGGTGTCGTTGCGGTTGATGAAGCCGTAGCCGCTCTTCACGTTGAACCACTTGACGGTGCCGGTGACTTTGGTGGCTGCAAATGGCAAAGGTAGAAAAAATATGAATAATCTTAATGGATCGCAATATTTATTATATTTGTTATGGTCATTCCAAAAACTATAATGGTCATTTATTTAGTTCATATGGAGTAAAACTTGTTTGGGATCTGTTGCAAATTCTTCTGTATGAATAAGTATAAAATTTATAAAAGGATATAAATTATACCATGTTAATTTAAAGTGTGAAATTGGCCAAAAAGTCGCATTAGAAAACCTTTAAATTAAAAATTGTATACAATAGTGGTAGTTTTGAAATAATACCTTAGAGATTTTCATTATACAGGAGGAGCAAAACGCAATAGATCTCGAACTAACCTAATACGCAGTTTGTAACTCATTGAAGCGTGCGAAAATACCAGAAATTATTGGGTAACAACAATTATTTTGAACTATGGTTACCAAAGTTGCGATTAAATTATAAGTATGTGCACATAATATACTTAAATGAGCAAAAATATAGTGGTATCCCAAATTTTGTGGTAATATATGGTAGTAATCGCCAGATCTTGTCGTATCTTATTGGTTGCATTGTGGTCTCGTGTTTTGGAATCGCCTTATAGCCAAATGTGCTTGCAAGTGTGTGTGTGTGTGTGTGTGTGCAAATAGATGTACCAAAACAATGACACACACACCCGCACCGGCTGTCTGCCCTCTCGCTCGCACTCCTGCTGCGCGCGCATTAACAATTTGGGTTGCCCTGGCCCGCTCTGCATGTGTGTGTGTGTGTACATCTATGGGGGGGATTTTTTAAAGGGGGGAGCGGAGGGTCGGGGTCGGGGTGGTGGTGGTTGGGTGGGTGGATAGACAGACGACCGGCAAAAGGCAGAATTTTCAATTTGGTTAGCCGGCGGCGCGAGCATTCGTGCACATACATATATACATGCGTTGCGTTTAGCCGCACAAAATGGCCGACCCGCGTATATTTTAAGACCCAAAACACACACGCACACACACACACACACACACACATAGAGAGGCGAGCGCAGGGAGGCATGCTCTTGTTCTTCTTTTCCTCCTTTTTTTCATTGCTATTTTGGTAGCAGCCGCCATGTGTTCGCGGCACATGAATGAAATTGGTTGGGATTTTGGTTTAACATGCGAGTTTCAGCCTTACCGATGACTTCCTTGGTGGGCGGAGCAGGCTGGCCCTGCTGTCCCTGCAGCTCGTCCAGCGGCTCCTGCTCGTGGTCCTGCTCCTGCGGATTCGGCGGATTCTGCTGCTCCGGCTGCGGCGGCTGCTGCTGCTGCTGTTCGGCGGCCAGTGGCTTACTCTCTGCGGCATCGGCCATCGTTTGTCGTGGTTTTGTTATTTGTTGTTCTGCGACGAAAACGAAAAGCGGGAAATGCTAGCGAGCCTGATGCTGCTGCGGACGATGTTGTTGTTGGTGCTGGTGCTGGTGTTGTTTGTGTCTGCCCGGCTGGTTTTCGGGGTCTTGGGGCACTCTCTCAACTGCCACTAACCACTTTGGATGTTGTTTGTGAGTGTGATCTTAAAACACTCGCCACTCGCAGGGTTTTCTTTGCCTTAGCGATTCTATTTTGTTCGCAAGCTCCGGAAGTGAAACATGACAGCCGGAGGCAGGGTTGCTTGCACTCTTATTATCGATATGTGTTATCGATGTTGTGTTACAGGGCGCTGTTGTGTCTCTAGCGTGCTGTTCGGCGCGCAATGTAAAGCCATAACAGCACTGCTCAAGAAGTCGTTACACTTGAATTGAAAAAAAACGTTAAAATTTAAACGTTAAATACAACATCAAATAAAAGTAGTTCGCATTGTAAATCATGATATGTATTAATGTTTTTACTTCTTGGATTTCTTGTACTTACCTAACCTTAAAAACAAATCTAAAATTTATTAAACCACATAAGCAAACTATTATTTTGTTTATAGTGACATATAAACATATACATTTTGTAGTAAAATGTTAATTATAATAGATTTGTAAGTCATTTCTGGACTCAGCCAAATCCCGCAGTGTCTGTCTGCTCCAAAACCAATGAGCCTGCTCCAAAGCAAATCCGATGCAGCTAATGCCAATCCCCACTGACCAAAGATAGAAGGCGCCTTGCAGGATGTCCAAGGTGAGAACCACCTTCTTGTTACGAGCTGCCACCTCGCTGGGGGTGTCAGTTTGATCGCCCAGATCCTCGAGGAACTCCTCGGCATCCGGGGACGCACCAACCCGGGTGATCATATCCATTTGACGCCAGTGCTCAAAGAAGCCGTGCTCGAGGAAGCTACTGTACAGGAACTCCAAGCGGTGCAGAAAGGGTGATCCTATGGGCAAGATGTAGGTGCATATCATGGAGCGCAGATACTCCCGGGCGATGTGGTAGGCTGGTCGCTCCTCCTGCGAGTCGTATGTGAGGGCCAGAAAGTCACGGGCGTGAGAATCCCGCATTATAAACGCCGCTCGTCGATCCCTTCGCCGAACCAATGGTTGGTAATAGGATGTGCTTATTTCCAGGGGCAACTGATGACTCCGGTTCTCCAGCAGATTGTATTGCTGTTCCGTCAAGGCGATCTTAACTGCATCATACATTGTGGTGACCGCATAAATGTGCACATCCAAGTGCGCCAAATCCTCCACTCGGTCCACCTGCTCCTCGTAGCTGGGTCGCACAAAGCCAGACTCCAGTTTGGCAAAGTAGATGGTGGACAGGACGTAGCTGAAGAGGATCCAGCCCATAAGGCACGTCCTCATCGAGCTGAAGGAGGACAGCCTGCCCACCGGTTCCCCCACATGTGTCTTGCCGAGCATCTCGAGAATCTCATACCAAGTTGCCTGAAACTGGGTAACTCCGCGACGGGGAATCATCCGCTCCAGGCGCTGCATCAGCCAGAAGACCAGCACTACCACCAAAAGGGTGACCAACAGCAGGTACCACACGGTTCGCCGAAAGACACGCACAAAGATTAGGTACTCCGGTTGAATTTCAGAGGCGGGAACCACCAAGTGCAGGTTGCGACGGGTATAAGGATAAAACACCTCCACAGCTGGCCAAATGCAGTCGAGCACGAAGCGCGAGTTGGGTGCAAAGTGGGTGTGACCAGCGATTATGTCTCTGACCACTCCGGTGAAGTTTCCATCTGGCAGGCAGCGACCGTAAGATTCGTTGTCCACCGGCAAGACATACGTTACGGTGGCATTCAGTATCTCGCCAACAACTCGGGCCGCCACGCCATCCACTGCCATGTAGCCAGCAGTCTCCACAGGATTCCTGGGCACCGCCATCAAGGGATCCGTGAACATGGAGAAACGCAATGGGTAACCCCTTAAGTCGTTCATCTTTCTTGGGTAGTGCACATTCCCATCCATCCGCTGAACCACTTGGAGACCACCCCAGGCGAAGGGATCGAAGTCGAAGGTGCCATTTTCGCTACCGGTAATGGCCAATCCGTAGAGCAGATTCTTGGCCCAACTGGCACGAAAAAGTCGCAGTAACTGGTGCCTTCTGGCATCCGGCCAAATAAACAGATACTTGTGCAGATGCTTGCGCCTCTGGCGAGGATTCAACATGTCCAGGATGCGGCGAATCAGGGAATCACCCTTCTTTCCAGCCGGAATGTGGAAGATACTCAGGCTGTCCGTTTGTCGTAAAGGTTCCAACTCATGTGCTTCGATGTTCCTTGTGATTACGGGCAATCGACTGCCCACACACCGATAGAGTTCCAATTCCAAGGCAGAGTAATCCGCCTCCAAGGATGCCGGGCAGCTGGCGCAGCGGTACAGATAGGTCACCTGGACATTCTGCGCCACGGCTATTCGACAGGCAGTCCCGGCCAAGGAATAGATCCCGGGAAGATACAATTGGAGCAGAAAACCAACCAAAGACCTCATGTTGCCGCAGTGGACTAACCAGGGAACTATGCTTCGGGTGACCCCAACCTGTGGAGGTTCTCCCTTGGGAGCCGTAATCCCCAATTACGAAAAGCGTTGCGTGAGAAGTTCATTAGGCAGCTAATTTTTTTGGGGTGCGTAGCTAAGAAAAGTTCTTTAAACTGATTTCAACACAATAAATATAAAAGGAATGGACATTCAAGAAAATTAAGAAAGTAAACTGAATGGTTGCAATGGTTACTTTATTTTAAATTCCTCCAAGCCAATAGCAGTATACTTATAAAAGAAAGTATATTATTTTGACTAGCAATAAGCACCTGACAACATTTTGAAATTATGAATACCTGTACTGATAAGGTGTTGTTTATTCTGAAGCTGCATAGTCGGTTTTAATCGGATGAATCATATTTTGAAGTCTGCAAGTGTGTGACTATGTAGTCATCTTGAATCGACCAGACTTACGTTTGTATTCTCGAAGTCTGAATGATATATGTTAGAAATATATATTCAAAGAATATGTAAAAGCTGCAACAAACCAATGCTTACTTAAACATTCATCTTCAACTTCATTCATCTTTTAAATCATCAAACGCAAATCATTAAATAAAGGCGTGCCTTGATTTTGTTTTTCAATTCTCACAAATTATTTCCGCCCGTTTCGGTTTGGTTTCTCTCCAGATTTTTCGAATAACCAGACAAAATCAATGCGAAATTTCTAAATTTTTAAAATTTTTCAAGTTAAAATAAAAGTTTTGTAACTATGGATATCGGTACGCCCTCAAACCAACCCGTAAGTACGCCATTGTTGACTTAGCCCTTCGAACCTAGTTCGATGAAGATCCTTCGGTCGCAGATCCTGGACACCTGCGAGATGTATCCTCGCCGCAGGACAACGGAGTTCTACAAGTCTCCGGAACCCAGAGCCTCGTGCCAAAGTCAACGGGCGGAACATCCGGCGGAGGTGCTCAACATAACTCCCGACGAGAATCGAGAGGCCGCTCGCAGACTTCCTCGCATCCAGCCCCCAAATAATTCGGACAGTATTTACCTGCGAAATGGGTACTTTTCGTAAAATAAATTTGTATTTCCTGTGCACTCAGTTATTTGTTTGTTTACACTATAAAAACCAAGGATTGTTTAGGCTTACAGCATAGGTAATTATTTCTATGCAAATGAAGAGAATCTTTTCCAGAATATCTGCATAGTAGTATTGCACATATGGAGTGACATCTGAAGAATGAAATGAAATGTGTTATGCATTGACCTTCGGGTCATCCGATGGTCCATTGTTCTTTGTTGAGTCCGTGAACATGATGCTCCGTGTTTTGCAATTGGGTATATTTTTAGCATGGGTTGATAAAGAGCGACCAGGCGAACAAAGCGGACTGCAAAGCTATCGAGGAGCTGCCTAGTAACACCTCAATTGACAGGTGATCTGCGGCCATGTAATCCTAATCGCTATTGAAGTGTGTTAATCAGGGGCCCGTCACCTGTTGATATGTGGAAAAAACCACAGTCATCGATTTGAAGTCTAGAAAACTAAAAGTCATTACACAGCGACAAAATAGGTGAACTTATGCACATTTTCAATGACATGTGCCATGAACTTTTGAAGTTGCAAATGCAAGTGGGAGTAACTAATTAGTAGCCCACATGCATTTCATGTTTACATTGAATCGTGCTACTTGGGGCATTCTTTCTATGGACTGCAACTCGTCCTATGCGGACAGGTGAAAAAGGTGTATCTGGATCTTGCAGCTGCTGAGTTTAGATAATGTCGGATTGATCCGCGAATGTCCGCCTAATCGGAGGTCTTATCACCTGCAATTATGGATGCAGCATTGGCGCTGAGATTCCGAGCGCCACGGGTCGATCAGATCCGGCGATGTCGGATCAAGGCTACGGATGCGACCGGTCATTGGCCGGATTGCAATCTGCGTATCGCCGATCCGGGGGTATAAATACTGGCTACCGATCACTGCAGCGGTACGATTCGAATCGACTCGAGAAGATGAAGTCGTTCACGGTGATTGCAGTAGCTGCGGTGGCATTGCTGGCTGCTCTGGGCCAGGCCAAGCACCTGGACTCCAAGGTGGCGGACAAGGACTTCCTGACCAAGCAGAGCTTCATGTTCCAGATCCTGCAGCACATCTACCAGGACGATGTGTTCACAACCCACTTCCCGGCCACCTACATGGAGTACAAGCCGTGGGAACATGTCGCCGACTACGTGCACCCGGAGATGCTGGAGCACTTCTTCGAGCTGTGGCAGCACCAGCCCTTCACCGATGACATGGTGTGGTCGGTGATGTACGAGAAGCACGAGGAGTACGTGGTGGGTCTGGTGCGCCTCTTCTACTTCGCCAAGAACTGGGAGACCTTCCAGCACGCCGTATTCTGGGCCCGTCAGCACGTGAACAAGCAGCTGTTCGTCTACGCCATAACCATTGCCAGTCTGTTCCGCGACGATATGCAGGGAGTGATCCTGCCGGCCCACTACGAGATCCACCCATGGAGCTTCTTCGACAGCCAGGCTCTGGAATGGGCCGAGCACTACAAGATGCACGGCTTCCACCATGTCAAGCAGATGGACAACATCTACAACGTGGTCATCCGCACCAACTACTCCAATGTGCACGGCGCCCTGAACTACGACCACGATTTGGCCTACTACCTGGAGGATGTGGGCTTCAATGCCTTCTACTACTACTTCAACCTGGACTATCCCTTCTGGACCAAGGGCGGCGAGGAGCATGTCCTGAACAAGGATCGGCGCGGTGAGCTCTACCTGTTTGTCCACTGGCAACTGCTGGCCCGCTGGTACCTGGAGCGTCTGTCCCACGATCTCGGCGAGGTGCCCGCCTTCAACATGTACGTGCCGAGCGAATCCGGCTATGCCAGCAACCTGCGCTCCTACTACGGCGTGCCCCAGTGGCACCGGGACAACCACCACAGCTTCTACCACGAGCACAACTACGAGCACATCGAGCACGTGGAGATGTACACGCAGCGCGTGATGGACTGGATCCACAAGAACGAGAAGTTCGATGTTGAGAGCATCAACGTGCTGGGCAACATCATCCAGGGCAATGCGGACAGCGTGGACAAGAAGTTCTACGGCAGTCTGGACAAGCTGTACCGCTTCATCGTGAACGAGGGTAACCACTACGGCAATGGAGACGAGAGCTTCCCCGGCCTGTTCATGCACTACGACACCTCCATGCGCGATCCCATCTTCTACGAGGTGTACAAGACCATTGTGAACCACTACTGGCATCTGATGGCGACCTATCCGGAGTACCAGAAGAAGGACTACGCCTTCGAGGGTGTCCACATCGATGCCGTTCACATGCCCGAGAGCCTGACCACCTACTTCGAGCACTTCGACTCGGACATCAGCAACGCCGTGAATGTGGAGCCCGCCGTGGAGGGAGCTACCGATCCGCTGTACATCTTCGGCAGGAACTCCCACTACAAGGGATCCAGCTATGTGATCAAGGCGCGCCAGCAGCGCCTCAACCACAAGCCCTTCGAGTTCACCCTGGACGTGACCTCCGACAAGGCGCAGGATGCCGTGGTGAAGGTCTTCATTGGGCCCAAGTACGATGAGCACGGACACGTGATCCCACTGGAGCACAACTACCAGAACTTCTTCGAGCTGGAGCACTACAAGGTGCATCTGGAGGCGGGCGTTAACCACATCAAGCGTGCCAGCGGTGACTTCACCATCTGGGTGAACGATCGCACCACCTACCTGGAACTCTACAAGAAGCTGCTGGACGCCACCAACAGCGATTACAAGTTCAAGCTGGACCAGTCGGAGTCCCACTGCGGCGTGCCCAACAGGATGATGCTGCCCCGCGGCAAGAAGGGCGGCCAGGTGTTCCAGTTCTTCTACATGGTCTACCCGTACCACCAGCCCCAGGTTGCCCAGTTCTCCGGCTACGATCCGGTGGTCAGCTGCGGTGTGGGACACGGATCCCGCTACGTGGACGCCCTGCCCTTCGGCTTCCCCTTCAACCGACCGGTGAAGCACGACTACTACTTCGATGTCAACAACTTCAAGTTCTTCGACGTGAAGATCTTCCATCGTGACGAGCACACCAACGTAGTCTAGATCCTCGAGCTGGACCTGGACCCAACGCATACGAATACGAATCCCAAACGAGCACCATCACTACCAACGAACTAACTATGTATATCGGATAGATTACGTGTTTTCCTTGTTATATCTTTGTTTGCATCCACTTACCCCATAGAAATCGTAATTTAACTCAGTTTTTCCAGCTTCTCAGTCCACCTTGCGACCATCAAACAATAAACGTATTCAACACTAGTACTTCCCTCTTTAGTTTTGCAAAATATTTTCAGTTTTCCAGTTTTCTCTTTTATTTGAAGCAGCAAGGATAAATCTGGTATTTTAAGTTCCACAAACTTGTAAAATTTCCATTTCGAATAGAAAAATATATGATAAACAGATTTTTTTGATCGCAACTTATTATTGAATATGTTTAAGAAGAACAATGTTATCCTATTTTTTACTATTTAATATACACGTTGCCCAAAATTCGAGTACAAATATTTATGAATAATTAAACCGCTGTTAACGTGCGCCTTTTTTATGTCACTGTAATAGGATGCATTCCAGGGATGCGTGCACTCACCTGCAGTTTGCGGAACTAGTTCGCCCATTTGCACCACTGCTCGCAGCCCTGGTCTGGAAAAAAAACACACAAAAGACTTGTTTTGTTGTTCTGTCCCAAAAATGAGCTCCTGGCGAGACAGTCTCACCAGCATTCCGGGCACAGTGGCGCAGTTGATTAACGAGAGCGCCAGCAACCTGTTGCACGTCTCATCCTCGCTGGGATCAACAGTTGGCCTTGGAGGCTCGGGCTCCACTGGATCTGGATCCGAGGGCGGGGGCAGCGAGGAAAGTGGCCCACAAAGTGCAGAGTACAGGGCGTTGCCCATTCCCGCCTCCTTGGTGCGCGAGCAATGGCGCCTAATCTTCACCAGCGATGCCAATATCCAGGATCTCCAGGCGGCCATTGCCCATTGCAGGGATCTCGTCCTGCTGAGCGAGGAACTCAGCGAGGAGCGTCGCTGGCTGGTGCGACACTTGGTGGATCTGCGCTACTCGCTGCAGGAACTGGAGGAGGCCCAGGAGCAGCATTCCCTGGCCTCAGACATGGTCGTCATGAATGCCATTCGTGCGGTGGTGGGTCATCATTTTGTGCCCCACCATCCGCATCACGGCAAACGGAATCGCCTGCAGGCAGCCGCCAAGAGGCACTACTGTGACCACTGCACCACCATTATTTGGAGCGTGGTGCAGAACTCGTACGTGTGCAGCGATTGCGGATTCTTGGTCCATCAGAAGTGCATCGATAGCGTCAAGAGGGTTTGTGCCCATGTTCTGGTTTCAGAGCGCCAGCATCCCATTTCGGAGATATGTCCAGAAATCGGTCTTGCCTCCCAGGGGTACAAGTGCGCCGAATGCGGAACGATGCTCAATATAAGTAGGTTGCCGTCCGTCACTTTAGTCCCCAATAATTCGACTTCTTTTTATAGAGAATACCTGGATTGAGCCACGCTTATGCGACTACAGTGGGTTGTACTACTGCCCTCGCTGCAACTGGAACGATAGCAACTTTATACCAGCCCGCATTATCCACAATTGGGATTTTTCACCACGCAGAGTTTCGCGCACAGCGCTCCAAGAGATCAGGTTGTTCCTAAACAAACCGCTCATCCGCTTGGAGGAGGACAATCCCAAGCTGTTTGTGTTCGTAGAAAAGTTGTGTGCGGTAAAGAAACTGCGCCAGAACCTGGTGCATATGCGCCACTATCTGGCTGCCTGCAAGATCGCCAGCGAGTTGAAGCTGGTCGATCAGCAACTAGGCGTCAGGAGACATCTGGCCCAGTCAAATGAGTTCTATTCCCTAAATGATCTCAGCCAGGTGGAGTCTGGAGCGCTCATTGAATTCCTACAAGGAGTTTTCAAGGCATTTAATGATCACATACGATCCTGCCCCATGTGCCTTGCCCAAGCGTACATCTGCGAGATTTGTAGCAACAACGAGGTCATCTTTCCCTTTGACGATGGCTGCATCAAGTGTGATCAGTGCAATTCCATCTTCCACCGAGTTTGCCTCACGCGCAAAAATATGATTTGCCCCAAGTGCATCCGCATCCAAGAACGTCGCCTTCAATTGGATCGCATGAAGAGCACCGAAGATGATGACGGGGTGGCCACCGATGATGACGTGACTCCCGCGGAATAACTGATCAAATCAGAGTTCATTGTGCTGTGCTGGTTTTTAATATGTTATCATATGTACATAGAATGTAACGTTAAAGTGTATAACTATATATCGAGTTTTATTCTTATATTTATTCTTACTTTTTACGTATCCTTCTTTCCATATTTTTCCCGCTTGTGGAACTTTCTGGGATTTATACCATATGCCTTTAATCGATCGTCGGTTATTCCACTGTTGTTATTTTGCTTGTTTTTCGCCTTAAAGTTGTTCGTTTTCTTTGCTGGGAAGGGGGCACTTGGCTTTTGGTTTGATTTCTTGAAGGGATTGCGACCGCTATCGTTTTTGGGTCCCTTTTTGCTTTCCCCTTGATTTTTATGAATTGGAGGCAGCTCTTGCCTTTGATGGGCTTTGGATTGTGGCTTATTGAAAGGGTTATTTCCATTTGGGTTTTCTGCATTTGTAGGCGCATTTTCCGTAGTTTTAAACGCGTTGTTTGACTTTGTCTTTGCATTTTTGTTTGATTTATTTTGGGGTTTTTGGAATCCATTTTGCACATTATTATGCTCTTTGTTATTTTTAAAAGCTTTATTGTTTCTCGTTGTGTTGGTTTTAGTTTCCTGGTTTCCGTCATCTTTACCTTTTTTAGGGGAAGGATCGGCTTTTTTCTTCGAATTTTCTGCCTGTACACCTTCTGTAGATCCTTCCGGTTCCTGCTTTGGATCTTTGACGGCAGGTTCCTCTTTTGGAACCTTAGGGGCACTAGCTGCTGCTGTTGCGGCAGCCTTACGTTTAAGGCGTTTCCTCTTTGATTTGGACAAACCTTCCGTCGAGACTTGACCGTTTTCGTTTGGCGCTGGCGTTTCAGCAGCTGGTGTAGCCGCTGGTTGCTCTTCTACTGGCTGCTCCTCGTCGTCAGAACTGCATGATGGTTAAGTTTTAGTAGATACCCTTTCTATATTTAAGGGTTATTTAAAATTACTTACCCTTCTCCATAAAGACTCTTGAATATTTTTCGCTTGAGGTCTTCATTTTTGGCTTTCATCTTGTAAAGACGTTGCTCCTTTTTCTCTACGTGTTCCGGTCTGTTTTGTACAGCCTTCTTCAAGCTAGCCCACTGGTTAAGCTCCTTGTTCTTGGCCAGCAAGATCTATAGAAGTAAAAGGATTACGTATCACTTGTTGAATTCAACAAATCTAATCCAAAATGTACCTCTTCTATCGTCAACCCAAAATCGTTTGGTGTGGTTTCCACATACTTAAATCGGCAGGGTTGATCTCCGATGATATCCTCACAGTCCATTTGGTAGTACTCGTCGATGTATTCACTGTACGTCTTTTCGTCCTCAGGATTGAATGCAGGCTTTTCCGCCTGGATCATCTCCATGAAGCGATTTCGTCTACCCTTTCGTCCTTTGCGCCCACGAGTGTTTTCAATGAGCTCTTGTTGAAGTTGCTCTTTGGCGGTAGACGGATCGTATTCGCAATCCATGTTGAAGTCGTCGTCCTCGCAGTGTCCTTCATAATCCTCATCGCCCCCGTTAGGGTGCTGTCTGGGATCATAGTTATCCCAATCTTCCAGCACCAATTCATCGATATCCGAGGGACATTCAGGTTTCTCCTCGCCTTCGTCCACATTGTAGTAATTATCGTCGAAAAGTTCCTGCATTCGACGATCGTGGGCCGCCGGGTCAAAGTCTTCATCGAGTTCATCGTCCCGAAAACCGAGCTCATCGTTGCCCGTGACCGCTTTTAATTTGCGTATCTTTTCATCGATCTCCTTACGCTTCATTTCCTTAATGAGTTCCAGTTCCTTCATCTTTTGCTGTTTCTCCTGATCCTTGCGCTCCTTGAGCTCCTTGCGTTTTTCTTTTCTCTTGTCATCCGTGCGACGCAGGGATTGTTCGATGGTGCGGGGATAGCGCTTAATAAAGTCCGCATCTGGTTCTTCAAAGCGGAAATTGTACTTGTGCTCAAATTCTGCCTGCTTCTCAAGTTCCTGCTCATCCTCGGAGAGCGGGGCAGCTTCTCCCACGATCTCATCGTAGGTGGGAATGGCAGACTCATCCGTGTTTGCGTAGCACTTGTTGAGGATGTAATCCCTGAGGAAACTCTCGCCCTGGGTCAGCTTGTTGCTGTTCCAGTACTGTTTAAGAGGCTCCAACTGCTCCTTGTCGGTTTGCTGAATTTCCGCTTGTTTTCCCGCCAGCCATTTGGCAAAGTCTGCCTCCTCGGCAGCTGTTTGCTCCTTGGTTTTGCTGCGCTTCTTGAATATACCTCCAAATTCCTCATCCTCACTGTCGTCGTCCTTGTTCATCACCTTCCGGAATTCAGCCTTCAGACGGCGCTCCTCCTCCACGGCGCTTGGTGACTGGGCTCGCTGGAGTTCCTCATGCTCTTTTTCCTGCTGCTCCTCATCCGAACTCTCAAACTTTCCGTTATGCTCCAAAATTACCTTTCGTTCGTAGTCCTTCAAGGTGACTGGCTTAGGTTTCTTCTTCTTTTTCGGAGACTCCCCATCCTTATCATCTTCATCGCCGGAGGACTCACTGAAGAATTTTGTACCCTTGTCGTAAATACGTGGATCTTTACTTTTCAACGAGGAAAGTGTCTTAAAGAAGTCCTGGTCGAATTTGGGGTCCACCTCGTCCTCCTCGGATGACGAGCTGTCACTGTCGAACTCCGATTCGGAAACATCCAAGCCACGATCCTTATCTGCGGAATATTAGGTAATATATGTATGTAACTAAAAAATGGCAAATGATCGTAGAACCGGATTCTGAATTTACACTTCTGTAGGAGCTCCTTTTTGCGCAAGATGTTGTAGGTCTTGGCATAGTCCTTGTTGGTGGACAACTGCAGATCCTCCCCATCGTCGTCGGAGCCCTCAAAAAGTTTATTATTCATAGTTTTGTTTATTTTCCTGGATTGTTTAGTGAACTCCACACGTGTTACAATAACAGCCGAATGTTAAATAGCATAGCCGCTGTTATCGCTAGAGGTGGACAATTTAACAAAGTTTTTGCAGGTTTCAAAGTTTCAAACAAAACAAAAACAAATTTGAGTAATTAAAAAATAAAAAGAAATATAACTAATTGTTCTATCGCAACATGATCTGATAATTGCAGCATATTTTCTTTAAGTAATTAGTTAAATCGCCAATCTTGTGAAACCTATCGATATTTTCTTCATTGTTTTCTGATCTCTAACAGATTTTATTTTATTTACAATTGGCTATTTTAATCTATTAATTTAGAGCTATCCGATTTAGTCACATTCCAAATAAATGGCAGAGACACCAGAATCCCAGGCAGCCCTGAGCACTTCCTCCTCCACACCTGCCGATAAGGATGGTTCCAAGAGTGAGAATCAAAGCCAACTTTACATGCTTTGGGTTGTTTTATCATAAAGGCTTCGTTATCAGTTTGCATTCTTCTAAACGCCACTGGCAATGTGCCCATAATCAAAAAGCGAACCTGGACCGTGGATCCCAACAAGACCGTCAGCTGGATCCAGAAGTTTATCCACAAGTTCCTCAAACTTGATGCCAGCGAGCAAATTGCAAGTAGTAAACGAAGTTCCAGGGAACCCTATCTCAAATGTCATCTTAATTTTCCAGTTCCTCTACGTTAATCAGACATTCGCACCCGCCCCAGATCAGATAATCAAGAACCTGTACGAGTGCCATGGAACCAACGGGAAACTGGTGCTCTACTACTGCAAGAATCAGGCGTGGGGCTAAATCGATACGCACAAGACTTTGCTAAGTCTTAAGTATTTATTCGACTACTGTGTAATTTGTATATTATTAAATGTGAATAAGAATGCTGATGTGAAGTCGATTTCACACTTTATTTCCCACAAAACGGGAGCCTAACAATGGTATTAAAAGAATATTACATGGGGTCTAGTCTCCGCGCAGGGCCTCCAGCTCGTCAGCAGCCTCTTTCGAAATCCTGTGGTATTTGGCCACCGATGGTCGGTAGTAGTAGGCCTGGTAATCGTTGCGCTCGGACATCTTGCGACGTACTTGTTCCTCTAGGAGCCTAAAAGGAAATATATTGGTTTTCAATGGGATATAACTTGTTTGTATCCTTTTGCCATACCGCATCTGAGCTTTTTCATTCTCCTCGTACAGATAGTGCAGGGATTTCTCGTAGTTTTGCTGATCCGAGTTCAGAATGTAGCGGGAAATAAAGCGCGAGATGGGGTTCTAGAGAATAAAGATAAATCTTGGAATTACAATCATAAATTTAATAAATAAATAAAGGGATATTACGCCTTTAGAAATTAACTCAATATCTACAAGCGTTCTGAACGCATACCTTCTCGTACTCCCAGTGCTTGGGCTCATAGCCCTCCGGAATCTCGGCGAGCTGCGCGGGTCCCACAAAGATGTTCGCGTAGAGAACCAATGCGGTGACAGGGATGACGCCGAGCATTACGTAAAAGTGCATCAGATCCTTGAACTTGTCCCACTGGAAGCGGGATGGCTTGATGGTCATGTGGTGGTGTCCATGATCGCCACCCATCCTGCGCAGCTGTTGCTGCAGTGCTAGAAATATATGGTTGCGTAATGTGAAGTGTGTTTACGGTGGATAATCCAAGGAGTGCTCACCATTCCGGCAAGCGGGCTCCTGCAGGACAGCCCGGTAACTGGCGAACTTCGCCGCCGGCGAAAGCAAACGGCTCCAACCGACCATTTTCAAGTAGTTTTGCGTAAATCTCACGATATTTTGGAACTGGTCGTGTTGAAGTTGCGAGCAGCAACGGTCACACTTTTGGTAGACCGTTTGCCTGTTTTGATATATCGATAACAGCAGGGATGGCAGAGTGATTTTGGCCTGGCTGCACCATAAACGTTTTAAAAAAATTAACAAGTTATTTAGATAAAGATGATGTGGTGAACAATTGATTAAAATATATTACAACGACTATTACGATCTATATTTTGTTGTCTCTCTATATACATTTATTATGTAATTCCTGGTAATGATTTTGGGAAGCCTAAGTTTAGATAATGATATTTTTCATCAGACTACAGTGTAAGTCACAAGATAATAATTATTAACGATATCTCGTGCAAGTCTATTCGTGACAACAAGTTCTTCGA